GCCAACCCAAACAGGGTTAATCAAGGTAAGCATTAAAGTGATACCAAAGGCTATTTTAATTTTCCAATAAAAAAAAAAAAAAAAAAAAAAGAGGTTATACTAACCTTCTCTGTGCAACCATATTGCACAGAAAGGCTGCTGCTCTTTCCTTTGGGTGCTTCCTCTAGCAAGCTATGGTCTAAGGAAGCACCAGGTGTCCATAAACACACACAGCAATAGTAAGCCACACTGTTCTCTTCTCACAGGAGTTTGCATGACAGCAGCAGGTGCCTATGGTTCCACTCTTGTGAAAGTGAGACGAGTGGTGTTGGATCCAAAGACAGTACTGGAGCGGTAGTGGTGTGACCCTCCTGCGCTCCAAATGTGTATTTAAAAATAATAAATCAAATGAATAAGTGTATAAATCCCAAAGGAGCTGCTAGCATTAAATCATATACCAGTGATCAAGTGAATATAAAACATAAGGAATGCTGCGCTACATTCAAATCAAACAAATTGTGAATGTGGGATCCCAAAATATCAAATCAAAAAGTGTGACAATATTAACAATATTGACAATGCAAATATATACGTGCTTGCTGATAATAACAAAAATCAAATAAATCACTCAAAAGATGTAGAAACACAAAAAACTATATCTATATGTATGTGCATGAACAAAAAATATACACATACATATAATTAAATCACACGTGCCTATTGTGAAGTGAAAAAATAACCATAATAATGGTACACGCAAACTAATATCTCAAAGTCCAAAAAATATAAAATATTGTAGGTGAACAAAACAGTAAACGGTGCTTCCAAATTATACTGTTAGTGACCACAAGTGAAAAAAATCGTGCAGGTTTCTGGGTGTATATAGGTCTACGAATCCAACCACCTTCTGGATTAGCCTCTCACCTCATCCCTTCGACCCTTGCGGATAAAAGAGCAGTAGTGGATCCCTCTCACAGATCCTCCAGGCACCAAAGCACTCCAAGACAGCTTTCAAGATGTAATATTCCCACTATGCTCTTCTCCAGGAAAAGTTGTAATATCAATCTCTCAGAATGAGACAAAGGAATCCTCCCATAGTGTAGTATATTTATTATACCATAGGAACATGTAGCATATTTTAAATAAGAACTTACGTAGCAGCCAGTCCACACTAAAGCCTCATGCTTTCAGATGAGGATATATCTGTTGGGTGTACAGCTGAATGCACAGGTGTACCAAGATGGCCGCCACGCCGGAAATACGTCACCGCGCTACGCCGACGCGTTACGTCACAATGTCATGTGACTTCTTCGTGGCGGCCATCTTGGTACACCTGTGCATTCAGCTGTACACCCAACAGATATATCCTCATCTGAAAGCATGAGGCTTTAGTGTGGACTGGCTGCTACGTAAGTTCTTATTTAAAATATGCTACATGTTCCTATGGTATAATAAATATACTACACTATGGGAGGATTCCTTTGTCTCATTCTGAGAGATTGATATTACAACTTTTCCTGGAGAAGAGCCATAGTGGGAATATTACATCTTGAAAGCTGTCTTGGAGTGCTTTGGTGCCTGGAGGATCTGTGAGAGGGATCCACTACTGCTCTTTTATCCGCAAGGGTCGAAGGGATGAGGTGAGAGGCTAATCCAGAAGGTGGTTGGATTCGTAGACCTATATACACCCAGAAACCTGCACGATTTTTTTCACTTGTGGTCACTAACAGTATAATTTGGAAGCACCGTTTACTGTTTTGTTCACCTACAATATTTTATATTTTTTGGACTTTGAGATATTAGTTTGCGTGTACCATTATTATGGTTATTTTTTCACTTCACAATAGGCACGTGTGATTTAATTATATGTATGTGTATATTTTTTGTTCATGCACATACATATAGATATAGTTTTTTGTGTTTCTACATCTTTTGAGTGATTTATTTGATTTTTGTTATTATCAGCAAGCACGTATATATTTGCATTGTCAATATTGTTAATATTGTCACACTTTTTGATTTGATATTTTGGGATCCACATTCACAATTTGTTTGATTTGAATGTAGCGCAGCATTCCTTATGTTTTATAGTACTGGAGCGGTGACATGGGGCCAGGTAAGTGTTTAGGGACAGGGGTAGGACAGGTAGTGAGGACTTTTAACCATTAGGTACCTTTCACATGGGCAGGTTCTGTATAGATCAGTGGGGGATCTGTCCGCTAACCCCCTGCTGACCAGAGCAGCGAGGGCAGATGATAGGTTTGTGTCCGTCGGTTCATGTAGAGCAGACAGAGCCCCCTCTGCTCTGTGGGCGGTCAGGAGTAAAGACTCAGCTGTCTGTTCATACCTGGCTGCCCTCCGATCTGATCAGCCTAGACAGAAGGGAATGGACTTTTTTTTTTTGTTTCCTTTTTGTAGCAGACCAGATCGTTTTGGAGGTATACGGGTGTAAAAAAAACCAAAAGTCTATTTACACCTGCCGGACCATAGGGGTAAAGGAAGGGTCTGATCAGATCTGCCTGAAAAATAGACAGGCCTAAACTGGACCCTTCATGTGAATGGGGCCTAATGCAGAGAATGTATCAACGTAAAAAATATTTAGTGCCCATTCACATATATGCGCATCCAATCCACATGACATGTGAAAAAATATTGCTTTCTATGGTGCCTGTTCACATATGTCCGGTGCACTGGCGGTGTGGATTCAGTGCGGTTTTAAAAAGAGTCATGTTCGTTTTCTGAGCAGTGCAGTTCTGGTTCAGGTGCAGATTACAGGCTATTGATTTCTATGGGAACCGTTTCTAAACCGCATATGTGTGAACAAGATAAGATCCTGAGCTAATCCTGTCATGAACCTATGAACAACTACTGTGTCAAATAGCTGTGAAACCGGACCTTCAAACCGCACCGCACATGTTTGAATCAGCTCTTATAGTTTAGTACCACTTCACTTTAATTCACTATTCCCCTCCTTAATGTAGCAGGTGATAACTTCAGTTTTGTACATTTTGCTAAAAATGTAAATTTTGCTATGTGAATGAGAACATATAACAATTATCCCAATGTGGCTGCAAAAGTGGAGTTGTACTATAGGATTCCGTTAAACAGTATTTTTAGAATAAAGCATTTGAAATTCAAAAGGTAATCAAAGTCAATGGAAATAAATAGAAATTGAAGACCCATCATAACAGTGGGTGGTCGACCAACATAACTATACATAACAGTGAGAGGTCATTGGCTTCCAAGGACTTTTTGTGAAACATTTCTTACAACATATAGTGCTGGAATGGAGTTTAATCACAACCCTTTTCTGTTTATGGAGTATATGAACTGAGCCTAGGCCAAAATAAATATTAATCAATATTGCTTTTGTTACCTACGTTTTTTGGAGAAAAAAAAACCAGTTTATTAGAATGCATAATTATATCTACTGCCAAAATAAAGATTTATCATACCATAAGTTGTGGAGGGGACATGTGGCAGCTACACTAGCTGCAAAGGAAAGGAAGACATTTGTCCATAGTAATTAAAACCGTTTTTTGTTTTCAGACTGCAAGGGTATGCAGGCTCGTTTTTATCTACAAAAAAGGACGGCAATTTAAATTTATTGCTGTTTTTAATCCTTTTTAATAATTTAATCTTTAATTCTTCTTTTAAACAATGCTTCATATTTCATTCAGTCTTCATTCCTTTTTCAATCCTTTTTTCTAGCTGCTTTTTTTCACTGGAAGTTGCACAAACCTAAAAAAAAAAAAAAATGAATGAAGACGGATTTTAAAAAAAAAGGAATGAAAATGGACACTTGTTGTAGTGTAAAGAAGGGACCAGCAGTCCTAAGTCCCCTCTTTTTCTTTTTTGCAGCCAGTCTGTTTATGTATAGAGGGCCAGAAACGTCACCCATACTGCTGTTACAACCTTGTAGTTAATTAGTCAGCTTCACCCTATCTTAGTGCTTGCCGTACCCTTTATACCTCGAGGTGAATTTTTGTTACTACCTTGACCTGATTCATGTTTTCTTTTATAAGCCGTTGTGTTTGGCATAATCTAATTCCATCACATGAGCCTTTCTCTTTGGCTATGACAACTTTTATTACCTTTTTGTGTAAAATGTAACATTTAACATCTGCACTGTTACCCTGTGTACTTATTAAGTCGGCATTCTGTTTGCCTTCTTTGTGCATGTATTTTGCACAAATAAAGGAATTACACACAAAAAAAGAAGGGACTAGCAGGACCAAAACTGCAGCATGCTGCAGTTTTAAGTTATGAAAGAAAATTCAATGTACCAAACACAATGCTAACATTGAAGTGGACAGACTGGCAAAAAAATGAGACCTGAATGAAGAAGCACTGTCCTTTCTTTTATTAGAAATAAGACTATTAAAAAGGATTAGAAACATAGTTATTAGATGGCAGAGTACACATACCCTCAAAATATTTAAAAGGGGAAACTGGAAAATCTTGTGTCAGATCCCTGTGTCACAACTTGGAGGGCCCACAACCATTCACATTTCCCTGGTCTTATATTTCCTATTTCACCTTTGGTATGGACATAAAATACAGTTGTTCTCTAAGGGAACCCGCTGAATAATCTAAATTCAGTAAACCACGCACTGTCAACAAGGCATCCAAGTTCTCATATAAGATGATAGTTCTCCAATTTTGGTGTTCCTGTCCTATGTACAGAGATCATAACCCACTCAAAATTGCACTGACAGGACCAAATCTGTGATTAAAACACTTGTTAGTACTTATGCCCATATTTATGAAATTGTTAAATGCAGTTCAATGTAATCCTGTTCCAAGTTTACAGTCACATGACAGTCAGACTAAAGGAGGTTTTTCTGTGAAATGCTGCATGTCTGACAGCATCAGACCATTTCATTCAGACTCCCCATGCAGAGATCACACTGCAGTCATCAGCTCAGTCAGAAATTAACAATAAAAAGAAAATCTGCAGCATCAAAGTGCTAATGTAACCCTGCTCTACGGGTACATGTGATAACATGGCACAATCTTACCTGGTCATTTACACTTGGCTGTCCTAATACTCCGTCTGTTGGCTGAGGCTTCCAAGGACTGTCATGACTCTGAGGAGAACTGATCAGTTTTACTACTGAAGGAATTTCACATGTGTTAACAGCAGAATCCTGATATGACTGTTTTGTTGGAGTGTGAATCCATGCATACTTCTTTTGATCTGGACAATGAAGTTCTATGAAAAAAAAAAATGCAGGAACATTCCAATTTCACACACTTGGTTCAAACACAATTTCATGACCAGTTATGAAAAAGGACATTATGTAAGTAGCCTACTTCTGATTTTCTGATTTTCTGAACCTGCTAGGGTCACCAGATTTCCTACTTCTGGATTTTCCATTCAAAATGTTAGTTCAGCATTAAGTCTTTGGCGGTTAGCACTAGATGACAGATGCAGTTTTCTTCTCTAAACATTGAAGAAAGTAGTAGTGCTGTTACCTATAGTAATTTCATTACAGTTGACATTTGATGGTGTAGTAGAGATGAGCTATAACTGACATTCTGTTATTGTTCAACTGTGGAAAACCTGAAAATTCTCCTTTGCAGTGGGGGTGCGCCTGCACTGCAAGGGTTGCCTGCTCTTTTAGTCTATGGAGTTGTAAAAGCAATTTTACTTACCCAATCCCCCGCTCTTCTGGCAGATGGCACTTCTCCATGCTCCGGTAGTGGACTGTCCCTCTGTGTCCTCATGTCCAGTACACGGATATAGATCCTGTATCGGTGTTGACACCAGGACCTTAGACAGCCAAAGCATAGGGGAAAAGAAGCTGCAGGGACCAGTCTAGCAGCCAGAGGAGCCTATAGGAGCAGACGTCAGGTAAGTAAATCTACTCTTCCATGCCTGCTAGATGTAAACGAGCAGGTAATGCTTGCATTGCAGATGTAGCCCCACTGCAAGGGAGAATTTTCAATTTTCTTGGATCTCAGCTTTAGGACCAGAAGAGATATACACGTTTATGTGTTTTTTACTGAACTGTATCTTGGAGCTCTTTGCTAATTTGGCCTATCAGCATATAACTGTAACATATTAAAAGGGACAGACAAATTGTAACACTCTAATTGTAAGTGGTTGCACTTCAAATTATTAAATTTACTATAAGATTTTTTAAATATATTTTTCCCACATATCTATGCAAAGCAAGTTGATAAAACACCTTTAAAATAGGAGAAAAAAAAAAAAAAAAAAAGATAGTGATGATTTATCTTCTCCCTTACTTTTGTTGGTCTGCAGTTAAATGGTGAGAAAACTGGATTTTTGTATTCACCCTAAAATTCTTTTCTTGTAGTCCATTGAGGGGCACTGAAGGTCTTTAACCTTCCAGTAACAATGCTGCCTACAGAAAAATTTAAAAATGGAATCAAACTGTAAGTAGCCCAGTATTAACCTCTCCTTCTACCAGCATGTCTTAATTTGTAGTAAAGCAGTACCAATAACATTGTCATTAACACACAGGTGTGAGACCTATTTCCTCAACAGACTCTATAAGAAGATTTTTACGATGGAGCACAAAAATCCTATTTTTTTTTTTTTTTATATCTATTGGAGGGACACAGGTACTCTTTAATGTGTGGGACATTCATAAGCAGTCCAACTGAGGGATGGGTAACACAGCAAACTAACAGGAGAAAGAAAACAGAGAACTTCAGACTGCATGCAGCTCAAAGAGCCATCTAAAAAATCTTGCATCTAAAGCTGGAGTTGGATGAGGCTGAAACATCCATCTTGTAGAACTTAGAGAATGTGTGAACAGAAGACAAGTTGTCAGCCTTGCGAATTTGGGAAACAGTTGTTTGATACCGAAAAAGCCCAAGAAACACTCATAGATGAGAGATCATAAGCTTGGATGATGATGGAGTTGATTTACTAACACTGGAGCATGCAAAATCTGGTGCAGCTCTGCAGAGAAAAATATTCGCTTCCAAGGACTTTTTGTCATAATGGGCACTAAAAAGCAGCAGTGATGGGCACTGATAGGGCTGCACCGATAATCAGTGCCCTGGTTATCAGTGTAGATGTCCCCTGTGTGCATTGCTGCTTACCCGCTTTAGTGAAGAGAGGACTGCCGATAACAGGCAAAATCCTGTTTACATTGTGATCAGCTGTGATTGGTCATAGCTGATCAGATGGTAAAGGGCCCGCTGTGATTGCCCTTTACCTCAATCTGTGATCAGCAGTGTCAAAAAGACACAGTGATCATAGAGCATGGCTGATGCATGCCACGAGGGTTTGCAGGGGCGGGGTTCTGGGAGGGCGTCAATAGACGCCCTCCCAGAACTAGTCAACTGCACTGTAGTCATCATGCGGCTATAGCGCGATCGGCAAGAAGTTATCAAGCTAAAGTTAGAAGCTGACTGGCTACCATGTACAGCTGCACCAACCTCAGTGTGCCTGAACCACCAAGAGATGGTGGAACAAGTAGCCAGTGTATCCTACAGGATCAACCCTGAATGACAAAAGGGAATCACTGTTTCTGAAAGAAGCTGTGGCTGAGAGATAGACTCACACAGCCAAAACCACATCAAAGACAATTGAGGGAATTTCCTTTAGTTAACTGGAGCTGAACAGAGGGATGGAAAAAGACTTGGGATAAAAGGCAGAAAACTGCCTTAGGCACGAAGGAGCTTCTGGGCCCAATACCATTTTGCCCCTGTGCAAAGTCATACAGGGTTCTATGCAGAATAAGGCCTCCAGTTCAGACACTTGCCTCACAGAAGTGATAGCTACAAGAAACATCACCTTGTAGGCGAGAATAAATAAAGGAATGTTTCTAATAGGTTCAAACAGCAGTTTCTGAAGCACAGAAAGAACCAGGTTAAAAGTCTTACAGAGCCACCAAGGAACAGACAGGGGTAGCCACATAGGGGATCCACTGTACAAAGACCTTAATGGCAAAATCAGTGCCTGAGAGAAGATCCTGATGATCTGGCAGTGCCCATGGACCATCTGCCAGGAGTCTTACCAGGTCAGCGTGTCATATTCATCTGGACCAGTCAGGTGCAATAAGGATCACTGGAGAAAAAAAAGCTTCAAGGGACGGAACTTTGATGACCAAATCGCCTGCACCCCCAGGGGAGCCAGGACCCCCCCCCCCCAGTCCAAAAGGCTGGTATCTTTCATGAAGATCCTCAAAAAGACAGTAAGGATAGACTCCAGATCTGTATTCCCAAGCCACCAAGTCTGGGACATCTGGGCCCTGGCAACAAATGAACTGGTCTGTCCAGAGATTGGCATACTTTTTGGTACTAGGATTGTTGGTGGAGGGTGAGCTAGGCTTGGATGGTTTTGACAATGAGGTCAAGGAAGTGGATAAAAGAAAGATAGTTGTTAACGTGAAGAGAAGGAGAAGAATTTGCAGTCTATTATTTAGACTTTTTCCCACTTAGAAATATGGGTGCTCTGGTCACCATTAACATCTTTGATAATGTCGTCAAGACCTGGTCCGAACAGTCATTGTCCCTTGAAAGCCATGCAGATCAAATGTTTTTTTTTTTTTTTTTTTTACAAGGGTTCTGCAATCCAGAATTTAGCCAAAGTGTCCCACACATATGTACCAACATGAGTCACATGTGAGAAATGAGACAAGAGGCCTCCAGCAAACTGTCACAGCTGAAATGTAGTGCTACAGCCATCTGCACTATGCATTTTTTAAGCAAAGGATCCACTGAAGTAGTGATAAGAGCTTTTGACCAGTCAGACATGGGTTGATGAACAAAAGGTCACAAAAGTAAATGAAGGTTAGTACCTGCCAATGAGAACACAGCTTTCAAATTCTTTCTGGTTGGGTCACTATAGACAAGTGTGTCCTCTACTGCAATAACAAGTACCTTGTTAAGGTGGAACACTGCCAGATCCACAGTATGAATAGACAGTTTCTGTACAAAATACTCACAAAATGGATACAAGGCTAATAATCGGTTGACTGAAGTAAAAGAATAAAAGAGTGCTAGCAAAAATTTTTTATTCATTTTTAAAAAAAAAAGTTCATACCCTCTAGGGCACCAACAAAAAATGGAGGCATGCTGATAGTAGGAAGGGATATCCTGAACTGACTTAGTTTTTTTGTTGACTGAAGTAAAGGTTGAAGAATATAAAAGTGCTATAAAATATATATATATATATCGATTAGTCTTTAACACAAAAGAGCTGAAGACAAATATTGTTCATACTCCCTAGGGCACCAGCAAAAAATGGAGGAATGCTGGTAGTAGAAGGGGTTATCCTGAGCTTGGCTACTGGGATTGCCAGTGGTCAATCTTCATGTAGACAGTATAGCCAGGAAGTTAAAGACTTCCCAGGTCCCTCAATGGGCAAGAAAGAAATATAAATAAAGAAAAAATAAATCAATATACTTGAACTGCATGTATTGACTATATATAGTTCTTCATAATACAACATATTGTGCAACAGTGGTCCTTTAAGCATTAGAATAGGTGTTGATCTTCTTGATCTATATTAAACAACTGAAACTTGTCTTACCATTGGGGGAGGTTTTTCGCTTTAGTTGCGCAGATAATGCTTGATTACTGAGTTTCACTAAATTTTCTTCTTCTGTTTAAATACAAGAATAGATCTCAGAATCAGATTTACAGATCAAAATGACAAGTAAAAATCTGTACCAAATCAATGTAAGAGGAGGAGCAACATTACTTAAAGAGAAAGAATGGGATAGACAAGCCACTGCCACAATCGGGAGAAGATACTGACCTGTGCTTTTCAGTAGTGGCATAGGATCTCGGTCAAAATGCTGCATCCTCTCCATTACATAGGTGGATGGAATTGGTTCCACTCATTTTGTCTACTAATACTTTTTTCCCACAAAAGTTCAATTCACAAAAAGAAATACTGTGTAGCTGCTAAGCTGTTATTTTTAAATTAAAAGAAAGTGTATGAATTTTAGATTCATGTAGTGATCCGTGTGTGTGTGTGTGTGTGTGTGTACACAAACTGTATATATAATCTAATATGATATTATACACACGCACCCTGTACTAGCCTTTTAATGAAAACAATGGGTTTCTCCTAACTTGCATGATTAGTGATCAGTTGCAGACAGATATCTCAAGATCGTTGAAGACTTTCTTTTACACATGGTAACCAGCGCTGATGACACTCCAAAATACTTCTTATCCTGCTCTTGTACATCATCTGATTGGCAAAAAGGATGCCTAAATCTATTGCCTTGCTTGCAATTATAAAGCTGCATACGGTCAACCTTCTTTGATGTAATACAAAAAAATATTATATTTACCTGAGAGGTTCTGTGCTCCACTAACTGTTCTGAACTCCTCTTGGCAGATTGCTTGGTTTGGGACACTACTACATGGTTCATCTTCAACAGCCTGTGCTGGAACTTTTTGAAGATGTCGCAATATGTGATCAATCTGATTGAAGAATTTTACCGTCTGCCTCATTGTACGTTGGTTTTCATTATTTTCGTCTTTTTGAATGCAATGATATTCGTATTTTAGGTTCTTGTACTTTCTTCTGCACTGCTTCCAGTCTCTGTTGATCCCAAACTCCATCAATCTGAGTGAGATCTCCTCAAAGACTTGTTTGTTCCTGAAGGTACCATCCAGCCGACGGGATATCTTCTCATCGGACCAGATGTGCAGCAGAGACTGAACTTCATAATCGCTCCAGTTCCTGCCCCCTCCTGTGTCATTTAGAGTCACTACTCGGAAGTCATTGTCAGGGTCATCATCCACTTTTGGGGTGTCATCTGGATAAATAAATTATGGTATATGATTTACAATTCACATGGTAGGTGAATATACACTAGACATTTGGACACCAATTTCATCATGTACCACTCATTACTCAGTTTGGATGAGATTTCGGAATATGAGAGGTGTGATTAAACTACATTTTCTATCAGCTCTTTGTGTTGCCCCAAAAAAGCCAACGGTGTATTTTTTCATCCTTTTTACTTGTACCATTTAAGGTTTGAACCTAATGGGGTGCTATGGAGCAATTCAGAACATTCTTTTCAGAGTTTCACTCTCATCCTGGTGGATTTATTGTACCTATGGGTGAAGTGACACTGCTTTGCCTAAAACCTAGCAAGGCCTGTCAAAACTGTAGTAGGGGAAAGTGGAAAATGCTACCACCAAGGCCCATGGAGACCTTTAATAATCTATCAGAAGACTAAGTCTAAGACAAAGTATTTCTTTTTAAAGAGCTGGCTTAGCTGAAAGCATTAGAGGGGGCATCCTGGAAAAAGGCCCCCCTTCTCTTAAAGTAGCTTCCACAGTTTCTTATCAGAGATTATTCCAATTACAGATTTAGCATTTTTCAGCAAAACCAAACAATGCACATAAAATTTCAAATATTTCTGTTGGGAGAACTGTCTTTATTGTCTAAAGCAGGCAACAAATTGGACCTTTGTCAAACCTGCACTAAAATGGACAGTTGGAAGATGATCAAAGGCTAAAGGGTAACCTAGACAGTTCTTCTTTTAAAAGACTAAAGGATTAGTTCATCTTTACCCAAAAACTGCCTATGCAGGTAAAGGACATCTGAAGATAGAAGCAAAGTGTGTGGCTTTAACTAAAGTTGAATAATGCCCTTGTTATAGGTGTAAACCATTTACATACCTCCTGAAGCCTGACTCCCAGGACATTGCCAGGATGTTGCTGAGAGGCCTAGTCACTATTGCTCGCCTCCACTACCACAGGAGTGAGCCTCAAATGCTGAGCTCAAGGGTACTGCATCAAGGGAAAGAAAGAGAATGAGAGACGGTTTGAATCAGAGAAAGAGTTCATACCTGTGATGGTGGAGGTGAGCAGTAATGCCCTGGGAGTTTTCCAGTCAGGCTGTGTTTATGCCACCCCCAACCGCTCCACCTTAAGTTGTGGAGGCAACTGACAGTAGTGCAGCCATCCGGACTTCTTTTTTCCTTCATCATCAAGTTGTTTATTCAGTTTGGTTTGTAGAAAAGTCAGGGACTGTGATGAAAATGTATAACCTTGCACCAAAGTATTCCTTCCTTTTAATAAGATATCTTGCGTGATGTGGACATCCTAGCTTTCAGGAGCGTTTGAAATTACCGATTCAGAAAGGCCCCCCCTTCCTTACGAAACCTAGGCTTTAACAACTATGCTTTCAAAGCCAGCTACTGTGAAATAGAGTCACCCTTGGAACAAGAGATCTGGATGATCTGGAAGGGCCTATGGGGTAGGATCTGATGAAGTCGAAGTACCACAGTCTCCTGGACCAGTTCAATGTGATAAGAATCACCAACATTCCCTCCATCTTGATTCTGTGGAACAGATGAGGAAAGAGCTTTGAAGAAGTGCATAGATCAGCTTATATTGATCCCATGGATCAGTATATCACTCAGCATTCACCAATGGATCCCTGCACCTGGAGACAAATTAGTGCAGTTTGTTGTTGATCTTCGCAGCAAGAATGTCCACATGCGGTGGCTCCAAATTCAAATTTCGTCAAAAATTTAGACCAAAATGTATTCTGTTACATGTCTTTGCTAAAAAAAAAAAAAATCCCAATACGTGTAAATTATTTGGTTTATGTGAAAGTTATAGTGTCTACAAATGGCGGTATATATACTGGATTTTTTTTTATACTAGTAATAGCGGCAATCAGGGACTTAGAGTGGGACTGTGGCAGGCATTCTGACACTGGGGGGGAACTGACTAACTGCCACTGACATCCGCAGTGACACTAATACAGTGATCAGCGCTAATAAAAAGCACTGACACTGTACTAATGACACTGGCCAGGAAGGGGTTATGCTGTGCAGAGCAGTACAAAGCAGCATGCTGGTGCTGACAGGGGAGAGATCTGTATTATTTACAAACAGACCTCTCCCTTGTCAGTGTTCCTCGATGATCGCCGGGTGCTGGCGGGGAATCCCCTGCCGGGACCCGGTGATCAACAGCTGTAGCAGTCAATGGCGGCGCAGGTAGAGCGGCACGTGCACGCACACCCCCCACCCTGAGATACAAAATCACATACAGTTGTGTTCAAAATAATAGCAGTCAAACATCACTAAACTGATAAATCACTGTTTTTGGTAGAAATGATATTTCTACATGGCAAATAATTTACTAGCAGGTGTAGTAGAGTAATAGAAATCCAACAGACCCAACAGTCATGACATGCATGCTGCTGATTCTGTGTAACTGAATCACTAATTGAAAGGGGCATGTTCAAAATAATAGCAGTGTGGAGTTCTATTAGTGAGGTCATTTATTCTTTGAAAAACATGTGGCAATTATTGCCCTTATTTAAGGAAGGAAGGCAGCAAATGTTGTACATGCTGGTTACAGTGCATTTCTCTCTGAAATTCTGAGGAAAATGGGTCGTTCCAGAAATTGTTCAGAAGAACAGCGTATCTTGATTAAAAAGTTGATTGGAGAGGGGAAAACATATAAAGAAGTGCAGAAAATGATAGGCTGCTCAGCTAAAATGATTGCAAATGCTTTAAAATGGCAACCAAAACCTGAAAGACGTGGAAGAAAGCAAAAAACTACCTTTCAAATGGACAGAAGACTAGCCAAAATGGCAAGGACTCAGCCAACAATCAGCTCCAGGAAGATCAAAGAAGGTCTAAAGTTACCTGTGAGTACTGTTACAATTAGAAGACACCTATGTGAAGCCAAGCTATCTGCAAGAAGCCCCCGCAAAGTCCCACTGTTGAAAAAAAGACATGTGCTGAAGAGGTTACAATTTGCCAAAGAGCACATTGACTGGCCTAAAGAGAAATGGCGCAACATTTTGTGGACTGATGAAAGTAAGATTGTTCTTTTTGGGTCTAGTGGCCGGAGACAGTTTGTCAGACGATCTCCAAACACTGAATTCAAGCCACAGTACACTGTGAAGACAGTGAAGCATGGTTGCGCAAGCATCATGATAAAGGGATGTTTCTCATACTACGGTGTTGGGCCTATTTATCGCATACCAGGGATCATGGATCAGTTTGAATACATCAGAATACTTGAAGAGGTCATGCTGCCTTATGCTGAAGAGGAAATGCCCTTGAAATGGGTGTTCCAACAAGACAAGGACCCCAAACACACCAGTAAACGTGCAACACCTTGGTTCCAGACCAACAAGATTGACGTTATGGAGTGGCCAGCCCAATCCCTGAATCTTAATCCGATAGAAAACTTGTGGGGGTGACATCAAAAATGCAGTTTCTGAGGCAAAACCAAGAAATAGAGAAGAACTGTGGAATGTAGTCCAATCATCCTGGGCTGGAATACCTGTTCACAGGTGCCAGAAGTTGGTTGACTCCATGCAACACAGATGTACAGCAGTTCTCAGAAACAGTGCTTATACAACTAAATATTCATTAAGTGATTCAAAGGAAAGCAAAATCTTCAAACATTTTTCAGTTTATATAGTGAATGTTTGAGTTTGTAAAGAAGAATACAAACACTGCTATTTTTTTTGAACAGTCTAATATTCACTTTTCTTCAATTTTTTTAGAGGAACACAAGTTTGATATAGTTTTCTTCATGTTTTGATTTGGAATAGAATGTGTAGTGTTCCCAATGCATTTGTGTGTATGGAAATAAAAGCTATTAGAAGGATTTTGAGCTTTATTCACTTTTTTCAACACACTGCTATTATTTTGAACACTGTATATATCTGTGATTTTGCACAGCCGTGCAGCAGTAGTTCTGCTATAGGGCAGTTGAAAAGCGGTTAAATGAAATTCGTACAATCTGGTATTGTACCAGAAAAAGTTTCATGCTTGTCCCTTCAAATCATTTTAGATAAAAGCTGTGTACCAACGATCAGATTATTTTATGATCGCTTCGAAAGTGGTATTTTTATTATGATTTTCTGAGAATGTGTACTAGACTTTAGAGAAGGTGGGTTAAAAGGAACACAAAATGTAGAGGCTTTTTGTTTCCTTTAGGCCTACCTCACTATAACATGTAACTTGCCATGGTGACCATCCTAGTTATGAACCTCGAAACCTATAAATGCATTGTAAGCTTGATGCCAGACCATAATAATAACCATATAACCCATTTGTATTAGTCTTTAAAACCAACTGAATATGACTCCTATACACTAAAGAAGGGTAACAATGAAATATGACCTAAGCCTCATGATTACACCACATGACTGAAGTATATTAGGCATTTGTTACTACATCACCATGAAAATTTTATAAATTCATTCATGTACAGAACCAAGGATTGGGTAACATTAAATGACATTTTACAAAGACAGAGACAGAATAGGGGCTTGTCCCCATGGCCAAGTATTTCCCCTGTCTCATTTAGATTTGGACATAGTGGGGTTAAGGTTCTGGGTCCATGCACACTGGGCTTAAAAACTGCTGCTTCTACAGTTTGTGGTATTGCCTGTAGAAGCAGCTTAATGTTATTATTTGTGTCCATGCAAATTAGGATGTTTAGAGGCATATTTTAAACTCAGTGTTTAAAGGCAGAATAAAGCCCCTTCTGGTTTTCTGCCAGAAAAAAAAAAAACGCAAACACTCCTAAGCACCTTTACAAAAATGCTCTATATTAACTTTTTTTCTTCCAAGGGAACTGGTATTTTTTTAGCCCAGTCACAAGCTCAGGCATGTACTAGAATCTTACTATACATGAGGTCCTGAAGATCCAGTTCCATAAAAATTAGATGAGACCAGGGGCGGACTGACCATTTGGAAACTCGGGCACTGCCCGAGGGCCCGGGGTCAGTAGGGGGCCCCATGAGATGCCCCTGGTACCTTTTTCATAGGCTTTTTTGAGTTTGGGCAAGGACACAGGGGCCCCATGAGTTGTCAGTCCACCCCTGGATGAGACTGTATGAATGAATCAATAGATCAGTATGTCCACATACACGTATCTTCCATATAGATAAAACGTCTGCCTGTATGGTTTGTTTCATGCTGGGTGTGGCAAGACTGTATGAAAATATACAATCAAGCCACAGAAAAAAAGACTGTAAGAATATAAAATTGTTATGCAAAAAATTATACTACAAATGGTACAAGATCTAAGTCCAGTGTAATATGCGTAATGTAATTGCGCACCTCTACAGATTTATGAAATTTTGTAAAACTGTCCAGTCAGAATCTTTATTTGTGAAGTGCAACCTTGTATATACATAGGACAATTTTGCAATAATATGATTCATTATGGCAAAGCTTTAGGGAAATATCTTAGAAACAATGATACAAAATGGGAAAGCTAAAGTCCAGAATTATGAAGTTAGATATTTATTTGAAAAATAATTTTATTTTTAAACACAACTGGTTTAAGTAGCTAAATAAGCATCTGAATCTGCCTTGTTATCAGTCTCCTGTAATAAACTGAACAGCAGGACTCTGTGCTGACAAGAAACATGCTGATAGGAGCAGATAGAGTTTACTGCTGTCCCTTCATCGACCAATCACAAGCTATGAAGTGTCCAAACTGTAATTTCCCCAAATCAATCATCAATTTGTCTGTGCTCTTTTGCAGGGCTGTGTTTACAAATCGTTTGGTAGGTAAAACAGATCTAATATAAGTATTATTTTTAGCTTGTAAGATCAGCTTTAAAAAACACAAACAGAAAACCAAGGATGACAGAGAGAAAGCATAAAAAAAAGCTGCAGTGTGTAAGCAAGTTTATATAATGTAATGCCACAGTGTTCCAATTACCTAAAAGCCCACATGTGTTGGTAGGGCTCTCTGGGTGACAAGTCTGGGATATATGTATAATTAGGCCTGTGTCTATAAAAAAAAAAAAAAATCCCACATAGCTAATCACTGACCTTTATACAAGGATATGACAAGTTCTCACCTAGGGATGCTGATTCTTCTTTTATGTGGGTCTTTACGGCATTTCCTCTATTAGGCAAAGCATGCTCCTCTCTTTCATGAAATTTGCCTACAAATGAACAGGTGTCATATTGTTAACATTATATTCATGCTTGGTAATAACTGTATAGTTAGTTAGAAATGACAGCAACTGTCTAGTACAGGGGTCTCCAAACTTTCTAAGCAAAGGGCCAGATTATTGGCCTTCAGGCTTTAGTGGGAGTCATTGGGAGTAGAAAATGCCCCGGCATCAGTGAGCATAAACAATGTCCCATCATTGGTTCTAATGGGAGGAATAGTGCCATCGATAGGATAAGTGGGAGGAATGGTGCCCCATCATTGGTATCAATTGAAAGAATGGTGCCCCATCACTGTTGTCAGTGGGAGGAATAGTGCAACATCACTGGTGTCAATGGAAGGAATAGTGCTCCATCATTGGTGTCAGTGGGAGGAATAGTGCCCCATCATTTGTATTAGCTGGAGGAATAGTGCTCCATCACTGGTGTCAGTGGAAGAAATGGTGCCCCATCATTGGTATCAGTGGGAGGAATAATGTCCTATCACTGGTATCAGTGGGAGGAATAGTGCCCTATTATTGGTATCAGTGGGAGCAATTGTGTGCCATCATTGGTGTCTGTGGAAGGAAAGGTGCCCCATCATTGGTATCAGTGGGAGGAATGGTTTCCTATCTTTGGTATCAGTGGGAGGAATGGTTTCCTATCATTATTGTCAGTTGGTGGAATAGTGCCCCAAGGGCCAGATAAAGGCATACAAAGGGCAACATCTGGCCCCCCGGCTGCAGTTTGGAGACCACTAGCCTAGTACAAAATGTTCATTGTTTAAGATCATATCTTTACAATTAAAGTGGTTCTAAAGTTAAATTGTTTTAACTTAATCATTTCCTGCATTAAGGTAAAAAAAAACTCCTACCACTTGTTGTGCCCTCCACCCTTTCTAAATACTTACCTGAGTCCTCTCACAATTCAGTGCTGTCCCATTTTCCTGGTCTCACAGGAAACTATGAGAGCAGTGGGAACCAAAGGATCCTGCTGCTATCAGTTAAATCCTTGTTTTAACAAATGGCCAGTATTTACTGAGCATGTGCTGCCACCTAAGAAGGGTCGAGGCATAGAGGACATCTTTGCTATATATAGGAATCAATGGGGATGAACCACCATTTTGCTGGTTACTTTCACCATGTGGTCATAGCAGCCACATGGTAATGGACACCATTTCAGGAATTTGATGCTGATAATATATATATATATATATATATTTTTTTTTTTTTTTTACACATTAATGCACCCCTGACAAAGCTCTTTGTTTTAAGCAGCGAAACATGTTGGGTTATAGTTTGAACACTTAGCATTTTTTTTTGTAAGTGAGCACAAGACTCCTTTGAGTGAAGATTTGGACAAGCTCATTTCCCCCTACCTGTGAGTCTCTACTTGGTCACTTAGAGAAGCAAGCACTAGTGCATACTAGGTAAGCGGCTGGGTTAGTAGAATGCTTGGTTTTATGGAGCAGTTAAGTCTTGCAAATAGTTGTTGTACCCTGCAGAGAACAGCCAAAGTCCCATATCTATATAGTATATGTGATTTCCCTATCATCCGTTTGTCATAAGCTGCTGGATGAGACACTGAGACAACAAGTGAAATATCCTGACCATTCATTAGAGCCACATGATTTTGGAAGGGTGTTATTACATTGGAATATTCCAACAACTTTACTTCATTAACAGTCTCTACTTACAAGTTCACACATCTCACATACTGTTGGGAATAGCCTCTTTTTAATGCAAACTTCAATAAATAAAGTTAGGCTTTAAACCCAGTGGCTTTATTGGTGTGTGTGGAAACGCACTTATGGTATTTTGCAAGGCTATGTGCCACATAGTGGTTGTCAATATCTTAGATGCTCAGATTATTTGATATACAGTCATGGCCGAAATTGTTGGCACCCTTGTATATTTTTCCTGAAAATCAAGTATTTCACACAAAAAAGGTATTGCATTAACACATGTTTTGCTATACACATGTTTATTCCCTTTGTATGTATTGGAACAAATATCAGAGGCAGAAAAGCAAATATGACATAATGTCACACAAAACCCCAAAAATGGGCTGGACAAAAGTATTGGCACCCCTTAACTTAATATTTGGTTGCACACCCTTTGGAAAACATAACTGAAATCAGTCGCTTCCTATAACCATCAATAAGCTTCTGACACCTCTCACCCGGAATTTTGGACCACTCTTCCTTTGCAAACAGCTCCAGGTCTCTCTTATTGAAGGACATAAAAAAACCTTTTCCCAACAGCAATTTTAAGATCTCTCCACAGGTGTTCAATGGGATTTTAGATCTGGGCTCATTGCTGGCCACTTCAGAACTCTCCAGCGCTTCTTTGCCATCCATTTCTGAGTGCTTTTTGACGTATGTTTGGGGTCATTGTCCTGCTGGAAGACCCAGGATCTTGGACGCAAACCCAGCTTTCTGACACTGGGCCCTACAGTGCGACCCAAAATCCTTTGGTAATCCTCAGATTTCATGATGCCTTGCACACAGTCAAGGCCCCAGTGCCAGAGGCAGCAAAACAACCCCAAAACATCATTGAAACCTCCACCATATTTTACCGTAGGTACTGTGTTTTGTTCTTTGTAGGCCTCATTCCGTTTTCGGTAAACAGTAGAATGATGTGCTTTACCGAAAAGCTCTATCTTGGTCTCATCTGTCCACAAGACGTTTTCCCAGAAGGCTTTTGGCTTACTCAAAGTACATTTTGGCAAACTGTAGTCTTGCTTTTTTATGTCTCTGTGTCAGCAGTGGGGTCCTCCTGGGTCTCCTGCCATAGCGTTTCATTTCATTTAAATGTCGACGGATAGTTCGCGCTGACACTGATGCTCCCTGAGCCTGCAGGACAGCTTGAATGTCTTTGGAACATGTTTGGGGCTGCTTATCCACCATCCGGACTATTCTGCGTTGCAATCTTTCATCAATTTTCCTCATCCGTCCACGACCAGGGAGATTAGCTACAGTGCCATGGGTTGCAAACTTCTTGATAATGTTGCGCACTGTGGACAAAGGCAAATCCTAGTTCTCTGGAGATGGACTTGTAACCTTGAGATTGTTGATATTTTGCCACAATTTTGGTTCTCAGGTCCTCAGACAGTTCTCGTCTCCTCTTTTCTGTTGTCCATGCTTAGTGTGGCACAGACAGACACACAATGCAAAGGTTAAGTGAACGTCTCTTCTTCCCTTTTATCTGCTTTCAGGTGTGATTTCTATATTGCCCACACCTGTTACTTGCCCCAGGTGAGTTTACAGGAGCATCACATGCTTGTAACATTCTTATTTATCCCGCAGTTGTGAAAGGGGTGCCAATACTTTTGTCCAGCCCATTTTTGGAGGTTTGTGTGACATTATGTCGAATTTGCTTTCTTTCCTCCCTTTTTTTTGTTTTGTCCCAATACACACAAAGGGAATAAACATGTGTATAGCAAAACATGTGTGTTAATGCAATACGTTTCGTGAGAAATACATGATTTCCTGGAGAAATATCAAGGGTGCCAACAATTTCGGCCATGACTGGTAAATAGCTATATAAAGCAGATGCCTTTTGTTGTTTTTTTTTCCTTATCTGCACAGACATACTGTAAGACTTCTGCATAGAATTCTGATGACAGTTCTCAAAACACCAAAGAAAGAAAAGACAGAGAACAAACGTTTATATTTGCAAAGTTGCTTGGTATGTGTGGCTACGTTAAAAGATCTACTGTCTTCTGGAAATAGAGATCTTACTTAAAGCGAGCTCCACCCAAAAGGGGAAAATTCCACATTAAGGACTGGTCCCCTGCATGGAATTGACACCTCTGGGGAGCGGGTACCCGATTTGACAGCTTCCTGCTCCACTCTGACAGCCTAGACATTTGGAAGTGGAAGTTATCCTCCCCCCATCCCCACAGTCTTCTGGAACACATGACAGGTCCCAGAAGGCTATGGACCATTCACAAGGAGCTAGCGCTACTCCTGCATGTTGCAGTGGGCTCTCCGAATGTGAAGCCACAGTCACAGCCGGGTGCGCACACTTAAGATGCTGACACAGGGGAGAGAGGATGGCCGGTGAACTCGGCTGGTGTGAACACACCGACAAGATCATAGGACAGGTCAGTGGCTGTTTTTTTATTTTTTTTCAGATTTGAGTGGAGCTCCATTTTAAGGAAAGTGCTCATTTTTATATAATGTTGCATGTTACATTTATTGGGAAATGTAATTTTTTACCTAAAATGTAAAAAGATACACTTTTCTGAATCTCAGTAGTTTTTGGGAAAGTTCCCAAAAATTCAGAAGCAGGCTGGACCGGTTTAAATTAACTGACCATTTACACAGACAAAGAGACTTTTTAGGTGGGGTATTTGCATATGATGATTTGTAAATGCTACCCTCTAGTTATGTGAAGCTGACAAAAAAAAAAAAAAAAAATTATATATACTGTATATAATATAATTTATAGGTTTTTTTTTTTATAGAGCAAGGGGTCTCCAAACTGCGTCCCAAGGGCCAGATTCGCCCTATGCATGCCTTTATCTGGCCCTAGGAAACTATCCTTCCAGTGATAGAGGCACGATTTCTTACACGGACACAACACTGTGCATTATTTCTTCACTGATACCCTAATGGGGGTACATTCGACCCCCAAAAACCCAAAAAGGGGCATAATCCTCCTCCTAAATGACCCCCAACCCGAGGCCAAAGTTTTTCTCATATTGGCCCGGGGCATTTTTTACCCCAATGGCCACAATCCAGCCCTCGTAAAGCGAAAGGGCAGTAAACTGGCCCTTTGTTTGAAAAGTTTGAGACCCCTGTTAAGGGGTTCCTTTACGAAGCTTCAAAAAAAATTTAGTTGCCTAGCCTCAAGCATGTATATCAAAAAAATGGGTTTAACTCATGAGGCCCAAAAAGGTACTATCCAAAGGCTGTGTTTTGCCTTAAACATCATTACAGGGGGATTTACTTACCTCTGTAATGAAAAAATACCATTACTCAAATTCAAATCCTTTTCAGGGGGGTTTCTTCATATCTGTTCCTTAAAAGATATCTAAATCCAAAAAAAACAAAATATTTAATATACGAGCATACGTTTTTTTTAAAATT